ACTTAACCACTACACCACCGGGCTGTCCCCTAAATTTGTTTTTTTTCAAAGAGAGTTATTAATTGGCTTTACTATATTCCCAAACAAGTTGTGGGATGTTATAGAATTTATAATATTGGTAAGTTGATCTGTATTGAAATCACTGTCTTCCACAGGTATTTACTGAATGTGTATGTGAGTGAGGCTCTGCACTTGGTGCTGAGGATAGAATCTTATTTGAGGAAACTGACAAGATGATACTTTTCTCTTAGATCAGTAGGTGAATCTGATGTTCTAGTCCCTTGAAAGGAGTATCAGATTCATTCTAGGTGTCTTGATCTCTTGAGATTGAAACTCTGGAATGTTATAATTTTGAGCTAGTTCCAACAGTAAGTATACTTTGACTCTTAGAGCGTAGCTCATCCGATATTAATTCTGTCTTGCATTTTGCTGTAATGATTTTGAAAAAATCTAGGCATGGTGACATAATCTGCTCACTAGTAGGCCATCAGACACCTAGAATTTCAAGTCTATCTGATTTTGAGAAAAGAAAAGCTGCTTTTTATTCTATTCATATAGCCTGAAATGTGAAGGCTCTTATGGCTCTCAGGTCACAACTCATCTGATGCTAATTGTGTCTTGCATTTTGCTTGGATGATTTTGAAAACCTAACAAGATTCTCTTATAGCTTTGAGCTTCACATGGTCCTGGTTTGGGTGTTGTCTGTTTGGCTCCATTTCAGACTGAAAGTCCCGGATAATCATTCTCTTCTGGGCTTGGGGTCTCTTGCTAGCCCTGGAAGTGTATCTCTCCAAAAGAGAAGGATTGAGCACAGAGAGCACTGATACCAAGGGTCATGTGTCGTGTAAGATAGTCCTGGAAATAGGATAAAATTTTTGCCTGAACTTCTGTGTGTGTGTGTGTGTGTGTGTGTGTGTGTGTGTGTGTGTGTGGAGGAGGGGAGGGCTTGCATAGACTATCGAACCCACATATGTGAGTATATATGTGTGGTACTTGTGTGTGTGTAATAGAGAGGAATGGTCACATGAGCAACAAATGTGGTGATTGATTATGATGCAGTAAGGAGAAACAGCATTGTTTAATACAACAAAACGCAGGGTTTAATCCTAGGAGGGTAATTATTTACAAATGGCTGTGACTTTGGTCTGCTTAGTTTCACCCTCCCCTTGGGGTTTTTCTCACTCTGTTTACCACTATATTACCATAAAGCACTGTGCTTTTAAACTCAAAATCTAGTGTGGCCCAAACACCATCCCCTGGTTTTCTTTTCTTTTTTTTTTTAAATTGTGGTAAAATACACATAACATAAAATTTACCATCTTAAGCATTTTTAAGTGTGCAGCTCAGTAGTGTTAAGTATATTTACATTGTTGTGAAACAGATCTCCAAAACTTTTTCACCTTGCAAATCTGAGACAATATATCCGTTAAACATCAACTCCCCTTTCACCACCAGTCCCTGTTAACCACCATTCTACTTTCTGTTTCTATGAATTTGGGTACTTCAGATAGCTCATGTAAGTAGAATCGTATATGTCTTTTTGTGACTGTCTTATTTCACTTAGCATAATGTCCTCAAGGTTCATCCATATTTTAACATGTGTCAGGATTTCCACCCTTTTTAAGGTTGAATAATATTCCATTGTATATATGTATACCACGTTTTCTTTGTCCATTCCTTTGCCAATGGACATTTGGGTTGCTTCCACCTTTTGGCTATTCTGAATAATGATGCTATGAAGATGGGTATACAAATATCTCTTTGAGACCCTGCTTTCAATTCTTTGGGATATATACCCAGAGGTGGGATTGCTGGATGATATGTTAGTTCTACTTTTAGTTTTTGAGGAACCGCCATACTGTTTTCCCTAGTGATTGCACCATTTTACAGTCCCACCAACAGTATGTAAGGATTTCATTTTCTCCACATCCTCACCAACACTTATTTTTTTTATAGTGGTCACCCTAATAGGTATGAGGTGATATCTCATTGTGGTTTTGATTTGTCTTTTTTTAGCAGTTTTATTGAGGTATAATTTACATACCATAAAATTCACCCACTGTGACAGTTAACTGATTTTTAGTAAATTTATATAGTTTTGTAACCATCACCACCATCTAGTTTTAGAACATTTCCATCATCCAAAAAAGTTCCCTTGTACCCATTTGTAGTTAATCCCAGCTTCCACCTGTAGCCTCAAGGCAACCACTGATATACTTCCTGCTTCTACAGTTTTGTCTTTCTAGAAATTTTATATAAATAGAATCATATAATATATAGTCTTTTGTTTCTGGCTTATTTAATTTAGCATAATATTTTTGAAGCTTATCCATGTTGTAGCAAATATCAATAGTTCATTCCTTTTGAGTGCTGAAAATATCCCATTATGTGAGTATACTACATTTTGTTTATTCCTTCACCAATTGATGGACGTTTGGCTCGTTTCCAGTTTTGGGCTATTATGAATAATGCTGCTATGAACTTTGCGTCTTTGTGTGGACATATGTTTTTGTTTCCCTTGGGTGGATACCTAGGAGTAGAATTGCTGGGTCATGCAGGGTAAGTGTATGTTTAACATTTTAAGAAACTGGCAAACTGTTTTTGAAAGTGACTGTGCCTGTTACATTCCCACCAGCAATACGTGAGAGTTCAGTTTCTCCACGTTCTCACCAGTACTTGGTATATTGTCATTCTTTTGTGTTTGTAGCCATCCAAGTTAGTGAGTAGTGGTGTTTCTTGTGGCTTTAATTTGCGTTTCCCCAATGACTAATGATGTTGAGCACCTTTTCATGTACTTATAAGCCATTCATCTATCTTCTTTGGTATAGTTGTCTATTTAGATCTTTTGTCCATTTAAAAAATATTTAAATAATCTTTTTATTTTAGAATGGTTTTAGATTTACAGAAATGTTGCAAAGATAGGACAGAGAGTTCCCATATACTCTACACTCATTTTCCCCTGTTAACATTTTACAAATGAACCAATATTGATATGATTATTAACTGAACTCCGTACTTCATTGGGATTTCATTAATTTTTTTCCTAATGTCCTTTTTCTGTTCTGGGTTTCCATCCTGGATACCACATTACATTTATTCATTATGTTTCCTTAGGCTCCTCTGGGCTGTGACAGTTTCTTTTGCCCATTTTATTATTTGGTTGTCGTCTTATTATTGAGTTTTAAGAGTTCTATATATATATATATTTTGGACACGAGTTCTCTATCAGATATATGATTTACAGATAATTTTTTCCAGTCTGTGTCTTATGTTTTCATTTTCTTAATGACCTTTTGAAGAGCACAAGTTTTAATTTTGAGGAAGGCCAATTGACCGATTTTTTTCTTTTATGGATTGTGTTTTTGATGTCGTATCTAAGAAATATTTGCCTGACCCAAGGTCACAAAGATTTTCTCCTGTATTTTTGTCTAAAAGTTTTATAGTTTTAACCCTTACATTTCAGTCTATAATCCATTTTTGTGTTAATTTTGTGCTAATTTTTGTGTATGGTTTGAAGTAAGAGCCTAAGTTCCTTTTTTTGCATGTGGATATCCAATTGTTATGAGCACCATTTGTCGAAAAGACTATCCTTTGCCCCTTGAATTGCCTTGGCACCTTTGTCAAATTCAATTCACTGTAAATGTAAGGGTTTATTTCTGGACTCTCAGTTCTGTTCCATTGACCTGTATGTCTTTCTATTCTTAAGCCAGTACCACTGGTCTTGATTACTATAACTTAATAGTAAGTTTTACGTTTGGGAAGTATAAGTTGTCTTCTTTTTCAAAATTATTTTGGCTATTCTAGGTCCTTTGCATTTCTATTTAAATTTTAGGATAGCAATGTCAATTTTAACAAAAAACACCTGCTGGGATTTTGATAAGGATTCCATTAAATCTATAGATGAATTCTCTTCCTCTCTTCTCCCTCCCCCTATACTAACCTTCTCCTTGGTCTTTTTGTTTGTTGGTCCGTTGGTTTTTTGTTTTGTTTTGTTTCCTTGGTGTTTGCATTTGAGTAGCTAATCTGGTCTGGAACACATTTTATATGTTTAACAAATCCTTAACAATGCCCACAACCATGGATATATTCCTTTTCGTTCAGTTCACTTTTACGTCCTGATTTGATAATAATAGTGTTAATGAAAAATTCTTTTGAGATTTTTCAGAGATTTTCCTTTTTTGTGAACGTATAATGCAAATCAACTGTTTCTGAAAGGGTGTTAGATGTATGTAAAGAAAATTCAGAACATTTAGGATCTACTAAATTGTTTTCTCGTTAAAATATATATATTCTATAATGTAATCTAGTTCATGTCATTTTTTTGTTCTTATCCCTTCAGTGACTTCCCATCACACTTAAAATAAAAGCCAAGGCCTGTATAGTGGTCTACACAAGGCCCCATAAGATCTGGCTCCTGGCAGCCTCTCTGACTTTATTTTCTACCACTTTCCCATTGGTCTCTATACTCTCTTGTTACACTGGTTTTATTGTTCCTTGAAAATACCAAGTATGTTCCTGCCTCAGGACTTTTGCACATACGGTTTCATTTGCCTGAAATGCTCCTCATCCTGATGTTCATGTGGCTCATTCGTTTACTTCATTCAGATCTCTCCTTAAATGTTAGCTTCTCGGAGAGACTTTCCTCAACTATCTTATCTAAAATAGCGCCATCGGTCACTCTGTGTCCTCTTACCTTGCTTCAGTTTCTTCATGGCACTTACCATTATATGACATTATTTTATGCATTTTTGTGTCTGTTTACCCCACTAGATTGTAAGCCCTTTGAAGACAAAGACTTTATTTTGTTTCCTGCTGTATATCTCCAGGGTATAGAATGTGCCTGGCAAATAGTAGACCTTAAATAAATATCTGTGGAATGAATAAATGCATGCATATGTGCTCACAACTTTCTCACAGCAGTGATCTTCGTGAAGCGTTCAGGCTATTACAAGAAATTTAATTTAGCATAATATTTTTGAGGCTTATCCATGTTGTAGCAAGTATCAATGGTTCATTCCTTTTCAATGCTGAAAATATCCCATTGTGTGAGTATACTACATTTTGTATCCTTTGAGGAAGGCTTTTTTTTTCTATGTTTTTACGGCATTTTTGGGCTGGAAGCATGATCCTCCAGCTCATTATGATTACTAAAAAATCCTTGAAAAGTAATCATTTTTAATATTGGAGAAATCTGCTTTTCTTTGAGCTTTATTTCTTCCCTAGCCAAACCTAGGGTATACCTGTAACGTAATTTCTTGCAGACATTGAACCTCAGAATTATGTATCATTGAGTGGAATTTCTTAATACAATATGTATACTGTGATCTGGTTAATTTAGAATAATCTGAATATTTCTTAGTGCCTTTACAAGTCGTTATGTTGCCTACTTTTGACTAGTGCCTGAGTTTAGCACCTACTGAGTTAGCCCTTTTTCATTCTTCTTAAACCTCAAATCTGTCTACATATTTCTAGCAAATTAATCTTCTTGAATCAATGCCTTTGTCTTATTACTTCCCTATTTTAAAATCTACAAAACTCCACTGCCTGTAGAATTAAGGAGGCACTCCTCATGGTGGAATTCAAGACTCTGTGTAATTGGGACCCACCTTTCTTTTTGAATCTTATCTTCTGCTAAATTGGTGAAGCACAAAGGCTCTGCTTTGGCCAGATGTGCCTCCTTCCTCCCTTTAAAACTTTATATCCTTTCACGCCCTTCTGAGCCGGCTCATGATGTCCTAGCCCAGCTACCGTCTTTCCTGAATGCCCTTCTTGCCTCTTTCAGACTTTCCTCGTTTTGTATATCCATGAGCCAAACTTAAATTCTGGTCCATCCTTGAAACCTTTGAACCCTAGAAGCAGCTAATAACTCATGTGGATCTCTCCTTTCCTTTCCTAAATTCCTTTAGTTCTTCTTGTTTTGTTAGTCATTTAGGCGCCCAATAAAGTGCTGTCTCCTTCATTATTAAGGTTTCTTGAGTGTACATTGGACCTGGACTTCTTGAAGATTGTAAGCACCTCCTTTGCACCATCAACTTCTTAAGTGTTGAGATTGTATATCCTTAGTGCCTGGCGCATTCCAGGTGTTTGTGGGACTGAACTTTACTGATTTGTTTTGCTTCTAGAGTACGGAGCACAATTGTAAATTCTAGTTGAATTAGGTTAAATTTGGCAAGTTTCTTGTAGTCCCTCTCTTCAAGGTCACATTTTGTGATCTTGCTTGTTTATTTGATATGACTTTGCTGGTCTTACTGAAGCTTTCAAAGGCAGTCAAAGAAAGGTTCCTCAGATTATAAAAATCTGTATTTTTATGAGCTTTTGGAGAGAAGTTCTTATTTTACTCCTTGAAATAATCCTAGAGGTCAAGATAAGGTCAAAATAGGCATCTTTGGTAAAGTGGCCTTTCTCTTTTGTCTTACATGTTTTTTCCCTTTTGGATAATGTTAATGGGATCATCTTAAGGGTAAAACTGGATACCTTGCCTCCAGGCATGAATGTAAGGAAATAGTCTGTTAAATTGTATTGAATAATCTTCCTGCTTGGTTTTTCACTTTTTTAGTAGAATTCTTTTTGGAATTTAAGTGACTTCTTTTTTCTCTTCAGTCATTTCTTCCAAGCTGTCACCACCTCATGTTTAATTCTGCATAAGTCCAGCTGTTATTCTTCACTCATTTCCTGTGTCCAGTTTATCACGAGAAAAACATTCTTGTTAAGAGCTTCTCCAGAGAGTTTCTTGAGTTGAATATTTAATATCTTCATTTTGAGAAACTGATTAAACTGCCACTGATGTTATCTGTGTGAGCTCAGCCCTTTTGAAAGCTTAAAAATCTAAAACTGGTGTAATACGGAGGGATAAAAATCTTGTTGACAGATTAGACGTGGAGTATGGGAAAAAGGGAGAAGTCGGTTTGACCTAAACGATTGGAAGGGTAGAGATGGGGAGACCTGTAGGTGAAACAAGTTTGGGTATAATGAGAGCTCCATTTTGGACATGTTGAGTTTTTTTTGACACTCAAATAGGTAGTTTATATAAGTCTGAAGGGCATTCATGGGACATATATGGTTTGGAAATATAAATTTGGGAATTGGCAACTTAGAGATGATGTTTAGATAAAGAAGAGAAAACATGTGAGGATCAAACCCTGTTACTGGTTTCTTACTTCTTTAGATGATTATTTGGTTAATTGATTTTTTAAAATTCTTTTTTTCTAATTTGCACAATTAAAGCAATTTTTAAAATTTCCAAACACATAAGACTTTTTTTTTGGATATTCTTTGATGCTTTCTGATATTAAGTTTTGGTCAGAGGCAGTGGTCTGTATGATATTGATTCTTTGGTAGAATTGAGATTTCTTCTAGGGCCAAGTGTCTGAACAATTTTTCTAAACTTCCTCTCTATGCTTAAAAAGATTCTCAGTTTATTGAGTGCAGTGTTTGCCATATTCCCGTTAGATCAATCTTATTAATTATGTGTGTAGAAAAGATTAAATTTAATTTTAAAAATTAAAATGCATTAAGTGATTATAGATGAAAATACCAGCTGGCTTAATATTATGGGAGAAGGTTGTGGTAAATTTCCCATTGAGAACATTAGATACAGAGGAATTGTTTCTAAACAGTTTGGACAGAAATGACCGTGATGACTCAGAGAACCTTTAGTGATGACGAAGACACTGATGTCAAAGATGCATTTAAAGAGCTTGGGTGAAATTGAGTCATGAAAGTGAAATAAACTTACATTTTTAAATTACTGTGATCTCAAGTGTTATAAATAGCAGTGGAAGGAAGGAAAGAAATAGGATAAGTGGGAGAACTACAAGTGGCAACAAGCTTTTGATATATTTTTTCATTTAAAAATAGAGGGAGTGACCCCAAATATAAGGTGATGTTTCCCGAGAAGGGATCTCCAGAAACTAACTTGAACATGTAAACCTTTAAATGAATTGAGTCAAATGTCTTGTTGATGCGGGTGCACTGAGGTAGGTTACAAATGAAAAGGTACTAGTGGATCCAAAAGTTTAATGTCTTCAAAATGAAAAATACCCTAGATCCCTTCCAGCACATCAAAGTCACTTTCAGCTCCCTGTCTACAGCAGCATTCTACAGCTTCCTGTTTGTCATTCCTGCATCCGTTTGTCATTTTCCCCAATCTCTATGTGGGGACAGAGGAGAAATAGTGACGGTGAAGACCTTGAGCGGAGAAGCTGTAAAAGTACCATTGTCAGCTGTACTTCTGCCCTGGGCATTCCAAAAACAGTGAAAACAGAGGTGTGGGATGTGAAGTGAACTCATGGCATGACAGGAATACCACTTAGATAGCTACGTAAAAAGGCTTCATGATCTGTTGCTCAATCCTTACACAGTTTTTAGGCTTAGAAACTTTTTCAAAGCCAGTAATTGCAGATATTAATTAGGGCTTTCTGTGTAACTACAGAAAGTAATGGATAATTTATGAATATCTCTGAACCTTTGAACATAAAGCAAACTAGTCTACTTTGAAATTGGTTTGCCCTAAGTTTGAAATCAGGAAGTATGTATCCTGCAACTTTGTTCTTTTGGAAGAATATTTTGGCTATTATATGTTTCTTGTATTTCCATATGAACTTAGGATCAACTTGTCCAGTGCTATAGAAAAGGCACCTATGATTTTGATAGAGATTGCATTGAATCTGTAGATCAATTTGGGGAATATTGCTATCTTAACAATATTAAGTCTTCCAGTCCATGAACATGGAAGGTCTTTCCATTTATTTAGATCTTCTTTAATTTCTTTCAATGATGTTTTGTAGTTTTCAGTGTACAAGTCTTGCATTTCTTTGATTAAATTTATTCCTGTTTTATTCTTTCTGATGCTATTGTAAATGAATTGTTTTCTTAATTTCATTTTCAGATTTTTCATGCCTAGTATATAGAAATGCAACTGATTTTTCATATTGACCTTGTGTCCTGCAGCTCTGTTGACTAGTTCATTAGCTCTAATAGTTTTTTGGTTTTGGTGGATTCTTTAGGGTTTTCTACGTATGAGATGGTGTCATCTGCAAATAGAAATAGTTTTACTTCTTCCTTTACAATTTGAATATCTTTTATTTCTTTTTCTTGCCTAATTGTTGTGGTAACCCTCACTATTGAATGATAATTTGTCGGGATTTAAAATCTAGCCAGAAGATGTTTTCCCTTGCTTCTTTGAAAATATCATTCCTCTATTATCTTGTAACCAATTTTGCTGATAACAATCTGATTCTCCTTCCTTTCTGTAGAATCTCTCATATTTCTCTAGTAACTTTTAGAGTTTTCTTGTAACATTGGTAATCTGAAGTTTTACTATAATCTGTGTGGACATGAACTTTTTTTTTAGTTCATTTCTATTTAATTAAATTTGTTTTAATACTCAGGATTTTGGGCCAGCCCCGTGGCTTGGTGGTTAAGAGTGCGTGCTCCGCTGCTGGCGGCCCGGGTTCGGATCCCGGGCGCGCACCGACGCACCGCTTCTCCGGCCATGCTGGGGCCGTGTCCCACGTACAGTAGCTAGAAGGATGTGCAGCTATGACATACAACTATCTACTGGGGCTTTGGGGGAAAAAAAATTAAAAAAAAAATTTAAAAATACTCAGGATTTTTACTCTCTAAAGGCTCATGTCTTTCATCAGTTCTGAAAAATTCTCCGCCATTATCTGTTTCGGATGCTATTGCCTCTCCTCCGTTCCCTTCTGTCTCTCTGGAACTCTGAGATATAGACTTTAAGACTGGATTTAGCTCTCACATTTCTTAACTTTAAAAAAAAAATGCACATCAGTCTTTAGCTGTATTCAGTCTTGTCTTCCGCCTATCTGTGGAGTTTTTTAAAACCTCAATAATAATGATTTTCATTTTTAAAATGTCTAATTGGTTATTTTTCATAATATTTTATGGATGCTATTCTATCCTTTAGGAGCCTGAGGATATTAAATATACTCATTTTAAAGACCTTTTTAGATGCTCTGTTTTCTTTGGGTGTTTTGGGGGAAGGTGGGGGGAGTTAAGTTCTTCCAGCTTCCTCAAAGGTGGCCTGCAGTCCTTGTGTGTGGCTCATGGCAGCTCAGCACAGCCCTTGCTCACCACAATGGCTTCTTGTTTGTTTTCTTCCTTGGGGGATACTTCATTATTTTTAGGCTTAAATAGAGTTTCCTTTTTTTGTTTTGATTCTAGCTGTGCATGCATCAATTTATTTTTATATCTTTAAGTCATTTTTTTTTTTTTGGTACAAGAGGGTAAGCTCTAAGCATGTGCTCAATTCCGCCTTGAATCAGAAGTCCCTAGACTACTACTTCAGCTGATTTATAATTCACTGTCATAGCACTGTCTCCAAAGGTCTCTGTGTGGCCTTTTCAGCAGAGACCTTGATACACATTTAATGAATGGTGTGTGGTTCTCCTGGCAAACTCCCTAACGTATTAGGGCATTTAAAATTACTTTTAGGGGGCCAGCCCTGTGGCTTAGCGGTTAAGTGCGAGCGCTCCGCTACTGGTGGCCCGGGTTCGGATCCCGGGCGCGCAGTGACACACCGCTTCTCCGGCCATGCTGAGGCCGCATCCCACATACAGCAACTAGAAGGGTGTGCGACTATGACATACAACTATCTGCTAGGGCTTTGGGGAAAAAAAAGGATGAGGATTGGCAGTAGATGTTAGCTCAGA